TCTCTCTCTCTCTCTCTCTCTCTCTCTCTCTCTCTCTCTCTACCTGAGGATCTTGACTCTGAATACATCCGCTACTACTCAGCTCTATCCCCTACTACTAGCTGTGTGCGGCTATGGCCGCCTTCCTTCCTCAGCACAGCGCTGCCCAGCAGGGCTCCAGCGCTAGCTCCTCGCAGATAGCGCACAAGCGCCTCAGCAGCACTTCCACACTTCTTGCAAATGAGCAATCTGTCCGAAATGTGGCTGGCCAGTCCTTATATTGACTTGGACTGAACCTTGACTCGTCGCAGCCTCTGCTCCTCTTGGCCTGACTTGGGCCTGGTACCGGCTGCCCGCGGCCTGTTTGCTTCAGAATGTGGAAGTCCGGTACCTTCCTGTTTTTTTTTGTTTTTTTGTTTTTTTGTTTTTTTGTTTTTGTTTTTTGGATTTAACATCCTGTGAAGACCTGCGGCCCAGTGGTGGTAAGAGAACCAGCCGGGTCTAGGCTAACTTGTGGATGACTCTGTTCCATTGGTGAGGAGCTGCACCTGGTGGGAAACAGGCCCAGTGTCCCATAAACAATAGACATATTCAGAGAGGTTTCTGGGAGCCTTACCCAGTTTCACTTGGACTTTCCAAGACCTATACTAATGCAAACTCTCAGCCTGTTGGCTACCATCACCGGCTTGATTTGCCTAATAGGTGCCTTCCTGAAACTGTTTCACCCAGTGGACTCGACATTTGCAGACACCGAGATTCGATCCCTAGACCTGTCCCTAAAACCCTGCACTTTGATCCTGTGTGCTGAGTGAGATTCGAACCTGTGACCTGTCCCTAAGCCTGTAGGTTAGTCAGTAGGTCTGTCTGTTAGCTGTTAGGATTTGATCCATAGATCTTTGTGTTAGTAAGTTAGTACGTTACCAATAGGTCTAGGTGGGGCCTATCTAGAAGTCTCTACCAGTTGGCACCTGGGGGCCTAAGAGTCTGTCTGTAGGCAGGGTCTAGAAGGTTGTAGGACTGTCGGTCTTGTCCAGTCAGCAAGTACCGAGGCCAAGTGGGGGTCCCACGCGGTAAATCCCACGCGTTCTGGCCCAGCAGGCCCCGTGTCTGGAGGCTTCCGGGCCTCACGGGGTTTGGGCAGCTCAGACCCTCACACGGTTCGGGGCCCAGGCCCACGCGGTTTGGGGCCCAGGCCCAGGCCACCTCGGGAGCAGTATAAATAAGGAGGCAGCTTCCAGCCATTCATTCATTCGCCTGTGAGCCATGCGGAAGCGCTGCCTTAGTGACTTGTGCGTGGAGGTCTGCAGGTGCCCGGAGCAGAAGTGGGCAGCTAGGAGGACGAACACAGCCTTAGCGAGGAAGAGGAGACGACAGCGGCCATAGCCGCTGAGCTGTTGACATCAACTCAGTGTACAGTGTGTGTGTGTGTGTGTATAGCGTGGACATTCAGGGTATATCCTCGTACATGCGTGCATAAGGGAGAGTGAGGCTGGTGGTGGATACAGTGTTCGGCGGCCATAGCCGCGAGTTGTACAGTTGATCTGGACTGAAATTTGAGTGGAAGACATATCTTTAAGTTTTCTGTGTGGGCACAAGGCGCCAATGGAAGTTCAGTGTTGATTCTGAGTTGAAGAAGTTGGTTTTCAGTCAGTTTGCCCATGTATGCATGTTGCAAGTGAGTATGGAGTTGCAGTCTGATTTCACTGGTATCAAAGCTGGTTCCCGTTGTCCACGTCAGAGTTACAGTAAGCTGAAGAACGGAGAAGCTGCCATAGCTGGAGTGCGGCAGAGTGTGGGAGAGAGAGAGAGAGAGAGAGAGAGAGAGAGAGAGAGAGAGAGAGAGAGAGAGAGAGAGAGAGAGAGAGAGAGAGAGGAGGCCACAGCGGATGGCAGCCGTAGCTGCCGAGCTCGGAGAAGAGGACGACTAACGAGAGAAGAGGAAGAAGTGACGTAGAGAGAAAGAAGAAGGAAGTTGACGAAGAGGGAGGTGAAGCAGCCATAGCCAAGGTGCAGGAAGAAGAAAAGGGCGAGCAAGGAGAAGGTTGACCACCATAGCCAGGAGGTCTGAGGGTTGATCAAGGAGGTTGACCAGCGTTGATCGGAGGTTGACCAAAACCGTTGACCAGCATTGACCAAGGCTGATCGGAGGTTGACCAAGACCATCGACTGACATTGACCAAGGCTGATCGGAGGTTGACCAAGACTATTGATCGGCGTGTTGACCAGGATCATTGACCAGAGCGTTGACCAAGCTGGAGCGAGAAGACGAGCGGTATCATCTCTCCAAGCCCTGGGCTAGCTCTTACCCTGTGGATGTGCACCCTCACCTTGGTACATGTTGACGTCAAGTCTGTCAGAGTCTGTCATATCTCCCTGTCACTTCTGTCCAGGTCGATAGGACTCTATGGATGTGGTCGTAGAGCTGCAAGCCCAAACCCACACGGGACTTAGTAAGGCTAAAGGCCGCGTCTGACGACTGACACGTCCCGAGGACAAGACCCCCAAGGACCAGTACTGACTGGCGGGCTGCTAAGTGTGGCGTGATAGGCCCGAACTCCGATTTGTGGGCTGTGCGTCCAACTGTCTAAGTCTTGAGAGGACTCGGCTGATCGTGTCGTCTTGTTTGCGACATTAAAGAATTCTTGAGGCGTTATGGGGAATCTCCTTAAATGCCTCCTGATCAGCTAGTGAGTCCTGTAGTGACAGCCTTAGAGTAGACGCGAGTAGTAGACAGTGAGTTGTCATAGACCCGAATTTGGACTAGTAGGTCTACGTGTTGAGGAGCGGAATCGTATGTGACTGTGCACTTTCACCATGCTGACCACCAGGACCAGAGTGAGCACCACTCCCTATAGTAGAGAGCAAGAGGAGAAAGCTGCCACCGCTTTGAGGGAAAGAAAGGAGAGAATGGAGAAGCAGGAACTGATCAAGCAGGCGAAGATGGTGGCTCTGCTAGAGGAGCAGGAGGCGAAGAAGAAGCAGATGGAGGAAGAACTGGAAAGGTGGAAGAAGGAGCAGAAGGAGAAGATGGCAGCATTAGAGATAGAGATAGAAGTGGAAGAAGAAGAAGTAGAAGAAGAAGAGGCTGAGGAAGAAGAAGCCTTGCAAAGAAGAAGAGGGGAAGCGAGTACAAGTAAGGTTACACAAGAAGAGGTGGAAAAGACAGTAAACGAATGGGCAACACTTATAGAACTGGGGGAGGAGAGAGAAGCGGAGTTGATGGTACCCGAGGCCGAGAGAGAAGCAGCAAGGAGAGACTTGGAGGAGGAGAGGGACCCATTGCTCAAACGAGCAAGCGAACATGAAAAACATTTGGAAATGAAGTTGCACCTGACGCAGGAGAGGATAAGACGTGTGGAGACAACAGAAAGATTGGAAGGGGAGTTGAAAGCGGCAGAGACAAGGATGGAGAAAATCAAGGAAGAGACCGAGGTAGGAACCAAACTTGACACCCTCACTCGCAGTGTAGAGTCCCTATTGACCGCACGAAGGGAACAAATGAAACACCTTCGCAGCCATGATATCGCCTTAGAGGCCATGCGAGCCGATTTCAAAGATTTCGCGCAGGATATGATGAAATATTTGTGGATCAGATCCATCTTGCGATCAGTAGGACAAAAAAGTTCTGCACAGGCGCCATAGAAGGCGCCAAGTGAGCGGCTTGCAAAGAAGAGGAGCCTGCCCCACGCCGCGAGAAGGTCAAAGTCCGTTTCCCTAAGCCCTTCAGTGGGAAGAAGGGGGAGGATTTTGACAGTTGGGAAGCAAGCGTCAACTCCTATCTATATCTACAGGGCGTACCGCCAAAAGACCATGTCATAGTGGCCTTTTAGGCCCTGAGAGAGGAAGCGCCCAACTTTGCAAGGTCGCTTGCACGTGCAGCACGCTGCGAAAATGATATGGTGCGGTATTCGAGGATAACTCCGCTCTCCGAATTCCTCAAGGCGCTTAGAGAACAATTCTCAGCTTTCACTAGGGGGATTAAGGCGTCTGATAAGTTACAAATGATCCATACACGGCAATGGAAGAGTGTGCATGCCCTCAAGTCTGCCATGGATGAGCTGATTGCTGTGCTCGGGCATGGGGTAACTGATGCACAACTAGTTCAACCTTTGTACAACGCCTTGCTTGAGCAGTGCAAGTGCATTTCTTCTAGGAAACAACAGCCAGACGTCACCTATGATGTACTCAGTAGGGAGGCTGTTTCATTCGCTGCTCAAGCCTCGCCAGGTACCATGTTCTGACACAAAGACTTGACAAAGGGAAAAACATGGAAGGGACACACCATCTCTGGCCAGGTCAAGGCCAAGGATAGTCTGATCCTAACAATTGAAGGAGGTGGTGCTGAAGAGGTTCCCTACTCAGACATTGAGTGGGGACTTGAGGAAGGAGATAGTGGGGTAGATCAGGGGAGAACCTACGCTGCTGGCCGCAAGGAAGAGGGCCAGGCTGAAATGGCCGGGCCCCGGGTGGCGGAGGACAGGGCGGCCAGGGGGTTGGCGGCAACAGGGACTGCCAAGTGGGAGGAAGGGGTCAAGGTCCCCCGTCTAACCGTCCGCGTCAGAGTCGGTCACCTCCTCGACAAGGAAGGTGGCGCCCAGGTCTGCCCGAGGGTCGACCCTGGGAGGATCTGGGAATTGGGCAGAACGTGTGGCAGGAACACATAAATAGATTTCAGTGCGTGTTCTACGGGGATCCTGGCCACATTATAAAGTTCTGTCCAAAGTATAGGGACCGAGCTGCTGCTTCTGGGGCAGCAAAAGACAATCGCCGGTAGGGGTTGCAACTGCCCCTACCCCACGAGTATGTGGATCCGAGCGTGCGCGCAAGATAGAGTCTCCTACTCCACATATCTCCATGTCAGAGGTTGCTAGCCAGCATCTAGTAAGTTGTCCAGAGACTGCTTGTTTCAGAGTCTCTCTAGACGCTTCCCTCACAGGCTTAGCTGAAGAGTTGAAGGAGAGGAGGCAAGCCTTGGCCAAGATGAAGAAGGATGGGAAAGGAGAGCTAATCCTCGCAGACGTAGAGATCTTTAGAGCTAGAGTAGGAGCCCTCATAGATAGTGGGCCCACTAGGAGCTACATTAGTCGCAAAGCGCTGAAAAAGTTAAAGCTCAACTTAAAGGTCCAACGATTGAGAGAGCCTGTAGCCAGCATCCTCGCAGACAACAGTAGGATGCAAGTCGAGGAGTACGTCGAAGGAATCCAGCCATACTTCCGCCTAGAGAAGGAAGGGAAGGTAGAGAAGGTCCTTCATTCCTTGACTCTTCTCGTGGAGGAGAATCTCCCGTTCGATGTAGTTTTGGGTACAGATTGGGGAGAGGCAGCAGGAGCCACTTTGCACCTTAGAGAGCACGAGTGCAGGCTCCCTAGTCCGTCAGGCGAAGTTAAGCAAGTCCGCCTCTATGATGAGTCCGGGGTAGACAATCCCCTCGCACATTGCTGCCTCAATGCTCCTGCCTTCCCCAGACTTGTGCAAAAGGAGCAGTTGGAAGAACAGGTATTCGTAGCCTACGTTAGGCCAGTTACTGACAAGCCAAAGGAAGCCATCCCACTATTGCCAGTCTGCTGGAGGAGTATAAGGACTTATCTGAGGCACGTTCAGGAGTGGTGCCAATGCCTATCCAGCATTGTATAGAGATTGAACCTGGCAGTAGAACGCCCAAAGGGGCAGTTTATAGGATGTCTCCCAAAGAACTGGAGGAGCTTCTTAAACAGTTAGATGAACTCTTAGAGAAAGGATGGATTAGGCCCAGTTCATCTCCTTTTAGCGCACCTATTTTGTTTCGTCCCCAGGAAAGAGGGAGAGTTACGTTTGTGTATAGACTACAGGGGCCTGAACGCCATAATTATAAAGAATGTCGGTTTGGGCAGCCCAGGCCCTCACGTGGTTTGGGGCCCAGGCCCACGCGGTTTGGGGCCCAGGCCCAGGCCACCTCCGGAGCAGTATGAATAAAGAGGCAGCGTCCAGCCATTCATGCAATCGCCTGTGAGCCATGGGGAAGCGCTGGCTTAGTGACTTGTGCGTGGAGGTCTGCAGGTGCCCGGAGCGGAAGTGGGCAGTGAAGAAGACGAAGACAGCCATAGCGAGGAGGAGGAAGACGACAGCGGCCATAGCTGCCGAGCTGTTGACGTCAACTCGGTGTACAGTGTGTGTGTGTGTGTGTGTGTGTGTGTGTGTGTGTGTATAGCGTGGACATTCAGCGTAGATCCTCGTACATGCGTGCATAAGGGAGAGTGAGGCTGGTGGTGGATACAGTGTTCGGCGGCCACAGCCGTGAGTTGTACAGTTGTTCTGGACTGAGATTTGGGTGGAAGACATATCGCTGAGTTTTCTGTGTGGGCGCAAGGCGCCAATGCAAGTTCAGTGTTGATTCGGAGTTGAAGAAGTTGGTTTTCAATCAGTTCGCCCATGTGTGCATGTTGCAAGTGAGTCTGGAGTTGCAGTCTGATTTCATTCCTGGGTTTTCCTTGGTGTGCTGCTGCTTTTGGGTCTGTGGAACGTGACTCTTGACTGTGAATCATGACCCTTGCCTGTGGGATATGACCTTTGGCTGTGAGATGTGACTTTTGCCTGTGAGATGTGACTTTCGCCTGTGAGATGTGACTTTTGCCTGTGAGACACAACCTTTGACTGTGGGACGTGACTTTTGCTTATGGGATGTGATGGTTGCCTCTTGGGTGTGACTGTTGACCGGTTACCTGTCGGACTTGACCTCTGGGGTACCCGACGTTACCTTTCTGAAACTGGCCGACCTGGCCCCTCTCAGCCTGGGAAGTTTGACCCTGAGATTGGAATGTGGGGTCTGCATCGTGGAATGCCTTTCAGTTATTCATCTTGAGCCTTAATCAAGCCATGAAGAGAGCAATACCTGAGTGGCGTAGGCCCGCGAAGACGGCCCGAGGGCCAGGGGACAAAGTATACGGGCAAATGGGACCTCGTCCGGGTACTCTTCAGCCCGGCTATTTGGGTTACCGGGCTGCGGCTGAGGTCCGGCCTAGCTCCGGCCTACCACCTTCACCCGAATAGAATGCCGGGTCATTATAGCCGTATTTGGGCTGACTTCCAGTCAAGATGCAGCCAGAATGACTGGGTGTTCTATTGGGGTGAATTCGGTAGCTCTGACCTGGGGAAACAGGCTTGGGGAACCCTGGGGTCCCCCCTCACTCTGTTTGCCCAGCCTGGTATTGTATGTATGGGTGGGGTCATCCCTTTTTTCTTTTGGCCCGGCTACTCACTTTTTTTTTGGCCCCCTCAGTCTGTTTGCCCAGCCTGGTATTGTATGGGTGGGGCTTCCCTTTTTTTTTGTCTGGGCCGTGCACAGAAAAAGGTCACAGATTATAAGAGCAAATCACAAAAAGATCTCTTTCTCGATTTGTGTGTACCATCCTTGCTTGCAGGGGCCATGTCCATCTTCACTGTAGCGTTTGAGCAGTCAGAGCAGGGGACCTGAAAAGGCAATCGAAGTGATGATTCACGAAACCTTCGGTCCACTCTGAAAGAAGTTTCCTTTCAGTCAAGGAACTTTCAGGGAAGTTTCCGTTCATTCGAGGAAAATCCATTCAGGAAAGGGAAGTGAAGCGATGATGATGGTGCTGAGAGGTTTCGGCCGATGAGAGGGGAGGTACCTTCAGGGACCTTCAGGGAAGTTTCCGTTCAAAGGAATGGGGAGGGAGGGTCGTCGATGATGGAGATGAGAGGTAGACCAGATTGATTGGCATCATCATTTTTTTCAATTGAAAAAAAGGAGGTGGCTGCGGCAGCAGGCATGGAGGACCCCTCACTAAGATATGCCGTTCTGGCAGAGTAAGTGTCATTCTGGACAAAGTAAGGACAATAAACAGGGGGGAAAAGAAAAAAAACGAAAAAAGAAGGAAAAAACGAAAAACGAAAAACGAGAAAAAGAAAAAGAAAAAGAAAAAGAAAAAGAAAAAGAAAGAAAAGAAAAAGAAAAAGAAAAAGAAAAAGAAAAAGAAAGAAAAGAAAAAGACTCAAATAGCAACCACGTGACTAGACATGACTCTCCCAATCCTTAGTGGACTAGTCCCACAGGTGCTCCGTTCATGCATAGGAAGCATGAATGTGGTCGCAGGTTGCCAGTTTCACGATAAATTAATGACAACATACTACCAGCTTCACAAGGAGGTTTTCTTCCAAGTCCTTGCTCTTTGTCTGTCTCCCTTTCCCCGTTTCTCCGTTTCTCCCTTTTCCCCTTTCTCCCTCCCTTCTCCGTTCTCCCTCGTCCCTTCTCCCTTCTCCCCTCCCCTCTACCTTCTCCCTTCTCCATTTTCTCCCTTTGCTCCCTTTGCTCCCTTTGCTGCCTTTTCTCCCATTTCTCCCATTTCTCCCATTTCTCCCATTTCTCCCTTTTCTCCCTTTAATCCTTTCCCCCCCTTTTCTCTCTTTTCTCCATCCTTCCTCCTCCCTCCTCCCTTCTTCCTTCTCCGTTCTGTCTACTGACTCTACCTTCATCTCTCTTCTCCCTTCTCCCTTGTCCCTTCTTCCTTTTCTCCCTTTTCTCCCTTTTCTCCCTTTTCACCCTTAGAAAAGCATTAACTTGGTTGAAAAACAGGGCAGGTTCACGATAACTTAATGACAACATACTACCAGCTTCACAGGGAGTTTCTCCTCCCAGGCGTAATTGTGTGTCTGCCTTCTCCCTTCTCCCGACTTCCGTCTCCCTTTTCCCTTCCATTCTCCCTTCTCCCTTCTCCCTTCTCGGTTCTCCATTTTCTCCGTTTTCTCCATTTTCTCCGTTTTCTCCGTTTTCTCCGTTTTCTCCGTTTTCTCCGTTTTCTCCGTTTTCTCCCTTGTCTTCCTTCCCTCCCTTTTCTCCCTCATCTGTTCTCATACTGATTGCCCTCCTCTTCTCCTTCCTCCTTCCTGCTGTCCTGTACTTTTCTCCTATCTGCTTTAAAAACAAAAAAGAGTGAGAGCGTTGAGATGGCATCGTCGAACTGACTGGCCCCAGGTAATTCGAAGTTATTTTACCTGCTTTTGCAAGGAAAATGAGCAGAGCGAATGGCAGATCCAGATTGCATCATCACATTGAAAGCCAGATAGTTTTGCGTCGAACGGAAAGCAGAATGCACCAAGATAGACACCAAATAAGAGCAAAGCAATGAACTCAATTGTCAATGTTAGGCCCTGACTCGCCTCCACCATTAGTGTCTCCAGTGTCGCTCTTCTATATGGCGCTCGGCGCCCAGACTACCATCAGACAGCAATCTATCCTAGCCTAACAACTACATGATGCGATCAGCACTCTTCCGCAGCAGCCCGATGTCGATGAAGACGGCGCCCATGCATCACCATGTCTGTCCCCTCCACAGGCTCTTCCTCCTCCACCCGAAGACCATCGCCATACCCTACTGGTTTCCAGCACCTGCGGCCTGGCTATGGCCGCGTGCACAGCTGCGCCCTGCAGCTTCTCTCCAGCGCCCTTGTGAGCCCTCCAGCCAGCGCTCGTGCTTGTCGTGCGCTCCTGCAGGACTGCCACATGAGATGCCAGCCAGAATGTGTCCTGGAGGAGGACAGGCACTTTCCTATGTTGGAAAGTGCTGGCTGGCCAGGTCCTGTCTGGACTGGCGCGGCATGTGCCAGTAGCTGCGCCCCTCGGCCCCTTCCAAGTCAAAGCTCTGGGAATTATTTCACGTAAATCTATGAACCAATGCAAACAGGATTAAAAGCGGTGGATAGCCGGGGGCTCAACAGTAAGAGTTCTGGGCCACAGCATCTCAGAGCTGGGTAGCGTCTTCATCTGTCAAGCGCTACCCGGTGGTTGAAGATGCTGCGAGGCGGTATCTACCACGCGGGGCCCTTCTGGAAGCTCCCGCTCTGCAACCAACTCGCGCACCCCGTGGCCTCAGTTCTGGCCAAAAATAGGCCGCCAGGAAAAGTTCAGGCCCGCCTTCACTTAGGGCGGCACGCATGGCCTTTACGACATGTGGAGGGGCTCTGATCCTCGCAAATTGGTCTGGGTTAAACCACCACTACCTCTGTCACTCTTGGGAAAAATGGGAAAACTGGCTGTTTTCCCACTTTTTCCGAACTTTTCGGGGGTTGGACGAGGCTCGGCAGTTGCTTGAGGGCCCCTTCGAAAAACAAAAAGAAAAACAAAATATCATGTCGGGAAAGGCCATGCACCAAGTTGTACTCGCACCAAAACTCACACGTTCGTATCTAACCGCTATATTGTTTCTGTTTTGTTTTCGTTAAAAGTTTTTTTTTTTTTGGTGCCCCGCCAGGGAGACAGGGTGCAGTCCACGGTCTGCTGACACTTTGTGGAGGAGGGCATGCCCACACTATTACTTTGCAGAATGTATGAACCCGCTTTCCCACCCTAAGTTCAGTTTCAATTTTTTTTCCCCTCTTCCTGCTTTCGTGGACATGACACCCTTGCCATAACGCCCTCACTGAGGGTATACTCACACAACGACTTTGGGCTAGGTATCTACTAGGTATCAAGAGCAAAGGGGTGGTTTTTTTTTTTTTTTTTTTTTTTTTTTTGGCTGCGAGTGGGTCGTTTTTTGAAAGTCTGGCCGTTATTTTTTTTTTCTTTTTTTTCAGGAGAGTACCAGAAAAGAAACAAAACGGAATCCAGGCTCGGCAAACCTCGGTGCGCAGTGAAAATCAGGGTCAGCAAAAACAGGCTCGGAGGTAGTGGTGGTTTAAAGAAAAATAATATTCAAGAAAAGAAAGTGATACATGCCTAGTTGGGCAACGTATATGGAGCCAAGGATCCGCAGAGTGATGAAAAGGACTAGAATGGACAATGCAATGTCAGCAAAGCATCAACAAGCAATGTATATCCCGATACATACAAAATAGCACAATGTAGCGCAGTGGAAGACTCAAAGATATGACCTGACCTGTCTGGTACTGACACGACATCCCATCATACACCACACATGTGAGAGAGGGAGGAGGGACCGCGTACACAGAAGAAAAGTCCCTCCTTGCATACGCACATGGTGGATATACCACGGATGAGAGATGGGGGGAGAGGCGAGGGAGAAGACCAAGATCGCGATAGCGAAGTCCAAAAATAGTCCCTTGCCAACTGTCCAATCAATGTCTGCCACAAAAATGTCGGATCAGATCCTGGGCCAAATGCCCGATGTACCCTCTGCCTGTAATCTCTCTCTCTCTCTCTCTGAAGAGAAGAAGAAGAAGAAGACAGAGGAGGAGGAGATGAAGGAGGAAGGAGAGAGACGAGATGGAGGGCGAGACGAACAAGAAGAAGAAGAAGATGTCGTCCTCCTTGCTGTCTCACCTGCAAGTAGCTGCCGCAGTGACTGACCGTCGTCGTCGTCGTGTGCAGGTCAGCGTGCGGAGTCCCAGCTATGGCGCAAGGTAAGTGCGCCGCTGCAGGTATGGCCTCCGCCCCTCTGCCTACCTACGCCTCGACTTCTACCTCCTAGCACAGCGCCGTAGTGTCGCAGCGCTGGTCCAGCAGCATGTCGCCCAAGAAGTGAGCTACTCGAACTGTGTGTCTGCTCAGCTGAGGCCCAGCTATATGTAGCGCTGGGCCAGCTGGGTGTGCATCTGCGTTGGCCTGAAAACGGCCCGCACGGGCGGGGCCCCTACCGGGCATCCAGACCGTGCTGCTGATGCAGCAGGGCGCCAAAACGCGCCTGGCCTCCATCGGCCCTGCCTCTGTACCCAGTCCAAGGCATCGCCTTGGGGACTGCGAGTCCGAAACGACGTCTGAACAGACAAAAATAGGACAGCAATAAACAAATAAATAAATAAATAAATGAATGCTGTCGTAATTCTGTACCTGCAGCCTAAGGGCCACCGTGGGCCTCCAGGGCGCGTGTCTGATGGGCATGCGGCCTGGGGCCCCCTCAGCAATTATCGGGCCCCTGAAATGGGGCCCGTGTGCAGGCGCAGCATGTAACAAAAGGCAGCAAAAAAAAAGCACAGAAGATAATGTAGAGGGGAAAAGCAGCTAGGACCTGCTACACCCTTCCAAGATAAACAGGGGTCTGTTTCTGGGCTTGGTCCTGTCTGGGGCCTTGCAGGAACTGTTGATAAAACAGACCCTTGTTCGTGCAAGAATGGGACCCCAAAGCTGGAAGGAAAACAGTCAGTATTAGAAATTAAAGATTTATAAAATTGAACTTATTTATAAGGCAGGGTTAAGGCAGGACCATAAGGACCTGTTTTAACCCCCCCAAAAAAAGGAAAAGAAGGAAAAAGAAAACGGTCTGGGTAATACCTTTCTCGGCCTTTTGGCTAAGATCAAGTGTAGTATCTGTTCTGATCAGTTAAAAAAAAAAAAAAAAACGGTCTGGGTTTGTCTGAGGAATTTTTCTGTTGTTGAAAGGTTGGGCATGTCGTGAATCTGGTCACCATCAGCAAATGTTTCTTGCTTCACTGGATGCCCAGGGTTTAGGGTTTAGGACTTAGGGTTTGCAAAGTTGCAGACCCAGGGTTTAGGGTCTAGGGTTTGCAACTTTGCACACGAGGTTGACTTACCTCCCCACTTCCCCACCTCCTTCCCCCTCCCCCTCTCCGTCCCCCTCTCCCCCTTCCCCTCCCCCTCCCCCTCCCCCTCCCCCCCCCCCCCCCCCCCAATCTGACCTTTGATTGACCTCTCAGTCAACATATACTGGAACCTCTAATATGAGCGTACCACGATAGGGATTCATGATGATGAGGATGACAATACACTAGAAGTTCTAGTGTCGAGGATGAGGAGTGAGTGAAAGTTGTGTATGATTTACGATCATGATGACAGCACACTGGAACTTCTAGTATGAGCATACTACGGTCAATATTGTTTGACCTGTCAGTTAACATACTAGAACTTCTAGTATCCATGATGAGGAGGGAGGTAGGGAGGTGACAAGTAAGTGCTGGTTCTAAGTGGTTGGTACTAAGTGGTTGATACAAAGTGGTGGGTACTAAGGGTTTGGTACCAAGTGATTGGTGTATTAAGTGGTTGGGTACTAAGCGGTGGGTGATAAGTGGTTGGGTACTAAGTGGTTCACACTAAGCGGTTGGTACTAAGTGGTTGGTACTAAGTGGTTGGGTACTAAAGGGGTCGGTACTAAGTGGTGGGTACTAAGTGGTGGGTACTAAGTGTTTGGGTACTAAGTGGTTGGTACTAAGTGGTCGGGTACTAGGTGGTTAGTATGAAGTGGTGGGTACTCGGTGGTTGTGTAGGTACTAAGTGGTGGGTACTAAGTGGTTCTCTAGTAAGGGGTTGGTACTGAAGTGCTTGGGTACTGAGTGGTTGGTACTAAGTGGTTGGTACCCAGTGGTTGGATACTGAGTGTTTGATGCTAAGTGGTTGACTGGTGCAATGAAAAGAACGAGCGTACTATGGTAGGGGGGTTCACGATGATGATGATGCCCGTTTCTCCATTAGACTCACTTTTCACAGATGAGCACTGTCTGTCTGTCGTCAAGTTTCATCTCCAGACTCCCTAGGTAGGACCAGGGAGAAAGCCTGCACACCACCAATTTGAAACAGATGTGGATTGGATTACATTGGGTTTTATTGAAACAGGCAGTCAAAGAAGAGTCATGCGTTGGTCGCATTGAAGGCTCGGTACGATGAGCTTGCACATGAGAACAAGCAGCTTCTTGAGGACAGGGACAAGTCGCTCAAAGAAACGGTGGGTCAATCACAAAATTTGACAAAATGCCCCCTCCCCCTACAAACCCCTG